ACATTTTATATGGAAAGTCACGTCTGAGAGACGATCCACTATGTCATATGGGCCTTCCTATGGAGAAGACAACTTAGGAGACAACACCTTGTCTCCTGGTACAAAGCTGACTTCAGTTGATCTCCTATCATAACATAGCTTCATGGAAACATCAGACGTTTTTAAGTTTGAATGCACTTGATGGTGAATATCATCCATCCTTTCTGATAACACTTTCATTTCACGGACTCTGACACATTTTCAGGCAACTCTTCATAAGGTGGGTGTCCTGTTAACAGATCCACTGGCAACCAAAGTTCCCAACCAAACATCAATTTTGCTGGAGTGTATGCAGTGGCTTCATGCTCTGCTGTTCTATAGGCCATCAACAGTGGAGAAAGTAAGACATCCCAGTCATCTTGGCGACTATTACAAAACTTTGCCTATTCCTGTCCAATTGTACCTTTCTACCATCCCATCAGACTGTTGGTGGAGTGGCGTTGTCCTGGTCTTTCATATACCAAACAACTTGCAACATTCATGGAACACAGCTGATTTAATGTTATGGTCTTGATCCGATTGCAGTTCGTATGACATACCAAATCTGAAGAAGAAATCGTTAATAGCCAAAGCTACAGTTGTAGCTTCCTGACTTGGTATTGCATATACCTCAGGCCATTTGGTGAAATAATCCATCACCACACAAATGTACTTGTTTCCAGCATGAGTTTGGGGCAAAGGACCAGCAATGTCAACGGCTACTCTTTCCATTGGTGCTCCAACTTGATATAACTTCATTGAAACATGTCCCTTATGTTTGGGTCTCCTTTTAGCACAACATGTACTGCAGGTCCTGCACCATTCTTCCACATCTTGCCTCATACCTATCCAGTAAAATCTCTGTCGTAGGTGACTCAATGTCTTCTTAACTCCGAGATGTCCTTCTGTTAATCTATCATGGGATTAACGCAGCACAACTTCCCATAAATTTCTTAGTATAACTGTTTGCCAGGTCATCACTTTCCCATCTCCGGAGAAGAATACCATTTTCAGGCTTCAACTGGTCCCATTGTGCCAAATAGTTCTTTGTCACAGGGCTTAAGCTAGACACCTTCTCTCAAGCAGGGTGCAAAACACTTGGTTTTTAGAAAATCAATTATTGGCTTCAAATCTTGGTCTTTCTCCTGTTTTGCTTTAATATCTATATTTGGTTCCATTTCACCATCATCAACTCCTTCAGTCACTTTGACTTCAGCTTGATGGCACCTGGTTAGTCGAACTTCTCTTTTAACAATTTTTGGGATTTGGTCTTTGTTGTTTCCGATCATCATTTTATCGAAGTTAACTACACACTTCCTCAGTAGTATATAGGCCAATCCTAATATGCATTGGGCTTCAAGGTCAGCCAAGTATACTTTGTGTCTGTTCTTCATGCCTATGAGCTCAATAGTTAC